TCTCTCTCTCTCACACACACACACACACACTCTCACACACACACACTCACTCTCTCTCTCTCACACACACATACATACACACACACATACACTCTCACACATACACATACACATACACACATATATATCCCGTAGTGCCGTTTGTAAGTTATTTAAACTCTTTTCTGTCTAAGTGGTTGATGCATCGCGTGAGTCTGAACGTTGCTCTTCATCAGTGAGAGTTGTGGAAGTTCACAGGTCAAACCTTGTGAGATCCGTTTGTTTGGTTCTGGAATGATGATGAATCTCAGCTCAATGAAATGTGTTGATTTGGGTTTGGTTTTCTCACATCAGACAGCAGAACATTGATGATGATGATGATGAAAGTTAATGTGTGGTTGTGTTTGTCAGCCGGCGCAGTAAATGGGACCAGGCCGGTCCGGGGTCGTCTGGAGCTGATGGAGGTTCTGCTCCGACCGGAGCTCTGGACGCTGCCGCCGCCGTCGCTGCCAAGATCAACGCCATGCTGGTGGCCAAAGGCAAACTCAGGCCATCTCAGATCAGCAGCGCTGCTGCCACTGATAAAGTCAGTTTCATGTCTAATGCACTGTAGAGTTCTGTATTAATACCACTCACACACTCACTCTCTCACACACTCACACACTCACACACACACTCTCACACACACACACACACTCACTCACTCACACTCACTCACATACACACTCGCACACACACACTCTCACACACACACACACACTCACTCACTCACACTCACTCACATACACACTCGCACACACACACTCTCACACACACACACACACTCACTCACTCACACTCACTCACATACACACTCGCACACACACACTCTCACACACACACACACACTCACTCACTCACACTCACTCACATACACACTCGCACACACACACTCTCACACACACACACACACTCACTCACTCACACTCACTCACATACACACTCGCACACACACACTCTCACACACACACACACACTCACTCACTCACACTCACTCACATACACACTCGCACACACACACTCTCACACACACACACACACTCACTCACTCACACTCACTCACATACACACTCGCACACACACACTCTCACACACACACACACACTCACTCACTCACACTCACTCACATACACACTCGCACACACACACTCTCACACACACACACACACTCACTCACTCACACTCACTCACATACACACTCGCACACACACACTCTCACACACACACACACACTCACTCACTCACACTCACTCACATACACACTCGCACACACACACTCTCACACACACACACACACTCACTCACTCACACTCACTCACATACACACTCGCACACACACACTCTCACACACACACACACACTCACTCACT